TCTATTTTGGGTTTTCTCAACATCAGCAGAGCCTTTGATACAGTTGATCAGCTTCAACTTCTTTAGTTTTTGCTTGTGATTTGTACACGATCGGCATAATTTGTTCCTACTCGTGTCTAACATTAGACACATCATATCCCTCATATGTTGATGTTTCTGCAAACCACTTTAACCTTGGTTTATCCATTGTTTCACTCATGTCAAGCTTTTTGTTCTCAAAGTTTTTATGTGTATCTAAAACACTACTCAAATTAGTTACAGTAATTTTATATTTTGACACATTCATGAAGCTTTCATTATGACAGAAAACATTCAGAGCTACAGCCAGGTGTAAAACTCATGCCAACGAGACGTAATGATTATTATAAAATGATGCACATTTGACTTTAATTCAGGGGTGTATTTTAGTAGATTAAATCATAAACATGTGGGTGGCTACCAATGTGGGTACAAAGTAATGGTGTTTATCCTAATAMCAGCAACAGGTGCAAAATGTCCTGACACTGGGACAAATACCAGTATTAATATATTACAATTTACTTTTCAAGTGAAAAATTTGTCAATTCCATGTTTTTGAAATGTATACCATTTGTTATTTTTATTTATTTAAAAAGTTTCCACAGCATTATGTCATGCTGTGTATTTGATTTGATCCAGTCAGCTGGGCTGTAGGTCTGTAAGGAAGGAGAGCCACCTTGTTCTAAATAAAATGTGTTTAGGTTCTAACAAGTATTCTGTATCAACACGGTATCAGCGAGTACCTAATGAAAGTACTCATACTCGTACTTAGTTTAAGAGAAACTGGTATTGGGATACCAAAAAAAAAAAAAACATGCAGCATAATGTTTATTTTAAAAAAAGATGCAAATGTATCTTCAGTTCAATTGTGTATTATTACATTGTAAACATGTGGGGTGGTTATAGGGTGGATTGTGCACAGCCACAGCCTACAACACAGTTTTGCTGAATMATTTGAGATTTAAAGAAACAAATACCACCGCTCATTAGTCTCCAATGCTTAGTGAATCTGTAACTGAAAATTCACACACTTTCTCCTAATTTCATCACAATTTTGAGTCGCCAGCTAATTTCCAAYAGTTTCAGCCTCATGAGATGCTAAAACCATCAAGAAGAGATCTTCTTTATTTGCTAAAAGTTAATTTTGGTTCCTGACTTTTACAGAAATGTGTTGTTTTAAACAAAAACTGAAAACTTACTTTTCTCCCAGTTGTTCAGTTAGACCCACAAGTCTGTTCAGTAAATAAATTTTACTCTTTTATTGTTATTTTTACACAAAGTTTATGGTAGCCTAGACTTGACTTAACAACGAGCTAAAACTAAAAAAAAAACTTGCTGTGTTTCAGTAGTGTACATAAGTTTATTTTGGCTAAATTTCTAATTTATACAGACTAAAATATAGTCATTATAAACACACACACACACACACACACACACACACACA